GAATCCAACTTTCCTTTTCGGACAATCATTCTTAACATGTCCTATTTCCTAGAGAAGTAACATGTAACCTTTTTGGTGATTTTCTTTGCCTCAACCTTCGTGAAAGATTTCCATTTTTTCTTTCCTTTCTTGCTTGACTTGATTTTCCATCATTTGCAATTGAGCCAAAGATTCATTATTTTTTGGCTTGAGAATATGATGGAATAAAACAAAATGACTCACTAAACTGTCTGCGCTTCTTTGTTATGAAGCATCAATTAGTCCATGCAATTTTGGACGCGATTTTCTTTATGGGTCATCCGAAAACAGTCTCTTTGTGCTTTAGTACAGGGGTAAGACTGCGTACATCCGACCCTCCCCCTTACCTCACCGTAGGTGGGAGTCTTTGCGGCACTGGAGTAAATGAAAATGATGAAATGATTTCTTGCTTGACTTGATCTTATGGACGTTTCGTCCATCATGACAAGATGGGCAGTGTGATCCTTGACATTCTTTAATCTTGTAGCCTCCCCCCTTAGTAACTTTCTAAGTTGGCTAAAGTTCTATTTCTGGTAGGGAATTTAGTACAAAAGTAGACTAGTCATGGATTATCAACATGCATGTTCATCTTGGTTAAACCCGATGCGAGATTAGCCATCTTATCGCAATATTCATTCATGACATAGACCACTCAAATTTGACATTAGTTAACTCAGCCGTCAGATTACTAATGATGGATTTGTCTTTCAAATGTGTCTATGAGCTCTTCTTGATTTCTGAGGTGAATTCCTTAACATCCTCGTCTTAGGTGCAATAGGCTGGATATTAGATGTCATGGTCATCTTCATAAGACACGAGTTCAACTTATTATAATTAAGAAAATGAGATCAACTTACAACTATTACAGACTGCCTCAAATAAAGTTTTAACAACTACAGGAGGCTTTTTTCCCTTGTTCATTCCCTCACGAGGACCCCACCATTCCACGCGACAATATAAGCATGACCCGCTCTGATACCACTTGTCACGGGCATAGAGTCTGGCGCAGCCCACAGCGCCCGTGCGGCGTCCCGGGGTCCCTTACCCCGCGGACAAGCCTCGCTCTCATACGGACCAGACTGGTTTCGCCCTGCCTTGGGCTCATCAGGGGAGCGGCAATAGCTCCCGACCAGTTGTGCCCTTAGACCCGCCTCTGTCTCCTTCATAGTCAAGCCCCCACATGCCCGACTCGGCCAGACCTTAGCGTTTAAGGCAGAACTCCCCTTGACGCTATTGCCTCCCCCATGCCTCGCCCATCCAGCTAGCCAGACGGTCCGTCCCATTCATTGAGCCTAACACGGTCATGAACAACGGTTCGTGACACTCTCCCCCACTCAAACTCTAGCACGCCCTCGTGCTAGGGGAGATGACTCTGCCCGAGGATAGCCATGCTTAATATTGTCAACGCGTCTCATTGCCAGGCCGCCTCCCCTTGACGCAGCCCGGCTGAGCTGGTGGCCACCCGCTTCTTGTCTCTCTACTATGGCAGACAACGAACCTAGCTTAGGACAGTCCTTCATGGTATGCGGTCCCTTGCACACGAAGCATCCACCCCTCGGCACAAAAGACTTCTTCTTTGCCTCATATTCCTCATGTCCCAAGCTCTTGTCCCCCCTCTTGAAGGACGGTTTCCGTGAGTTCTCCCTGCCCACGTTGTCATGCCGGTCTCCCCCACCTTTGACGGGGTTCTTATCTTTTCTCTTGGATGCCTCCCCATAGCTATGGTGTTGGAAGTCCGTCAAGGATTCAGCGGCGGCAATGGCTTCGTCCACCGTTTGGACACTCCGCCGTTGCACCTCTTGCTTAGCCCAACTTTGTAACCCATCGACGAAGTAGAAAAGTAGATCCTCTTGGGACAAGTTGGGGATTTGGAGCATAAGGGTTGTAAAGTCTCTTACGTAGTCACGAATCGTACCTCTTTGCTTTAACTCCCTTAGCTTCTTGCGGGCCTCAAAGACGACGTTCTCCGGGTAGAAATGTCTCTTCAACTCTCTCTTGAAGTCTTCCCACGTGTCAACCCGTGCAACGCCCCGCTCTATATCCGCATGCCTCCTTCGCCACCATAGCATTGCCGTATCCACCAAATAAGATGTGGCCGTCTTGATTTTCGCCGTCTCGTCCTCAAGGTTAAGGTTGTCGAAATATTGTTCCATTTGCCACAAGTAGTTCTCGACTTCTTTGGCATCTCGGACCCCATGGAACTTTGACGGCTTCGGATAGTCAACCTTCGGCGTGTTGGTGAGGTTTATGGTTGCCCCACCACTAGCCGCAGCCTTCTTGCACAAGGCCAACTCTTCACGCATGTTCTCAAGACTAGCATGTAAAGATTGAATAGCATTCATTACCTTCTCCTCTAGTTGGACAAATCGGGCATCGAGGTGTAAGGAATATACACAACAATAATGACAAAGAAAATCGACAACAATAGTTACCAAGGGTAAAAGGAGAGAGTTAAAACACTCTAGTCCAAGACAGATTCACACAAATTCAGTTTATCATTAAATCAATAATGTAGAACTATATGAACACTATTAACTACCAAGAGGCAAAGGAGAGAGTGAAGACACTCTACTACTCTAGTCCTAGATAGATTCAAACACAGATTCAGTCTATCATTAACTCTTTTTTTTTTTTTTTTTTTTTTTTTTTTTTTTTTAACCCGGAAGGCAAACCACCAAAATCGGTGGGGCAAATGCCGGGGAACATTTGCCGGATTTTATTGAAAAACGAGAGGGTACAGAACGAAGAGGGGGTCAAACCAAAACCTCTTCTAGAGGGCATTCCCTCCTAAAAAATACACGCAACATAGCAAAGAAAGAGTAAACTGCTGAGGGGGCTAGACCTGACCCAACAGAGAAAATTACACAAAAAGAAGCAAAAATTAGTAAAAACATCTAAACTCGGGAAGTCCAAAAAGATCTCGGAAATATGCTAGACGGGCCAAATGAGGGAGGTCAATGACCCTATTATAAAATTGAAACTGGGTTATTGGATGTGCTGCCAGATAATGGGCTGAAAAATTGCTCTCACGCCAACAATGTCTAAGTGAGACCCCTTTCCTAATTTCGAACTCCTTCATTTCCTGAAACAAATTATGCCATCTTCCTCCTCCATCCTGAGAGTAGTAGGTAACTGCTTGCGCGGCATCCGACTCGACCTGGAAATCAACGAACCCAGCCTCCACTGCCCATCGAGTAGCGAAAATAATAGCAAGAACTTCAGCTTCCAAGCTTGTAGATGCCATCAGCGGAAACGAAATGGCAATCACCAGCTCACCTCCTTGATTCCTCATTATTGCACCACCTCGTACATGACCAGGTAGGAAACTAGCATCTGTGTTCAATTTGAGATTACTTAGTGGTTTATCCCATTGAATAGCCCTAATCGAGGGACCTGAGAGTTTGAAATTCTTGGGAATAAGTTGTTCCTCAAACAAAACATCACCAATGGAGTTGATTTTCATTCTTGAAAGACTAGAAGACCAAGCCTGAGTATATAGCTTTATTTGATGGATTATTTGAGAAGTAGTTGGAGTAGAAATCCTAGAACCCCAAATGATACTCGAATAGTTTTTCCAAACAATCCAACAAATAATACCTGGGAGATTATGTCTAAATAGGTCAACCAATGTTTTAGATCCTGACTTAAGCCACCAAGTCATCCAAATTTGCCTGATAGTGTTATTAGGTCCCACCTTAGGAATACCTAATACTGCCATAAAATGCTGCCAAATAGGATTCACCACTACACAATTATAAAACAGATGATCCATAGAATCTGACTGCCTTTTGCAAAGTGGGCACATAGATGGGTTAAGCACATGTTGAAATCTAGAAAGCTTGTCAGTAATTGGGAGTATACCATGAAGCATTTTCCATTGAAAAACTTTAATTTTCATGGGCTGTTTAGGATGCCAAACATGCTTAAAAGTGAACATACTAGGTAGTTCATCTCTAACAATCTCGTAAGCTGACTTGAAAGAGAAGATACCATCAGTCTCAGGCTCCCAAACCAAGTTTCCATTAGAATCTGTATTATAGTACGAGCTGGCCAATGGGTGGATGCTACAAATTCTTCTCCAAATTGGAGAATCTGTGACTTTAGGAATCATATTCAAGCCCCTTGGGTATCTAGCCTTAATAAAGTCATTCCAGAGTGAAATACCATTCTTCCATTTCCACCAAAGTTTTATAGAAAAAGCCTTTTCTAAATGATAGAGTGATCTAATACCAAGACCACCTTCTTCAGTGGAAAGACAAAGTTTAGACCAAGATAACCAGTGGTGATTGGCCCTATTATTTGAAAACCCCCAAAAGAAATTGGCTAATTTTCTTTCCAGAATGTTAATAACCTTTCTAGGAAGTGTATCTGAAGCCAAAAGGTGCAGAGGAATAGCACTAAGAACATGCTTAATGAGTATGAGCCTTCCTCCTTGTGATAGATTTCTACACTTCCATGGTGTGAGTTTAGAATCAAACTGATTAATAATGTCATCACAGTACTGAAACCTATTGATTCCTTTATGTAACTTGATGCCCAGGTATTTCATTGGAAGAGCAGAAGATTGCATGCCCAAGACACTCTCCATTCTTTTCTTCCTTGGTCTGGCTGAACTGCCTGTTATAAAGGAGCTTTTCTGCATATTTACAGCTTGCCCAGAGGCAGACTGGTAAGCTTTGATGAACTCAGAAAAGTTAGATAAAGATTTAGACTCTCCGTTTAAGAAAATAAGTAGGTCGTCCGCAAAACCAAGATGTGAAACAGGAAAACCCAGATTACCCATCCAGGCAAACCAGTCTATCATTAACTCAATCATGTAGAACTATATGAACACTATTAGTAATAATATAACTATAATTACATGATCAAATATTAGAATACTAATTGTTAATTATTAATTAAATATATTTTAACAACTCCAATTGATATTCAACCTTCTTTGACCTATTAATAGTCATGAATGACTGATGGTGATGATGCAGGATAATAGAGATGAATTGGGCTCTAAGTTGGAGGGGGGAACAGTTGTTGGCACTGCCTCTACTGCTGTTTTGGCGGGCGATGGATGCACCCATCATGGCATTATTGAGGTTGAAATCGGATTCAAGCCAGCCGAACATCCGAGTGAGCCGTTTGCTGACAACAACAATGATAATCCTATTTATTGCCCATTGCCTGAACCTCCTGCTGCTTCTATACTAAATGTATGTTTCCATGCAACTTATTAGCTATCTCCTTTAACGCACAAATATATAAGACACGTTCTAATAGAAAGAAGTCTAATCTTAATATGAGAAATGTGAATCATTTTTTGTTGTGAGATTTAATCTTATTGCAGTAAAAGATTTTCAAGCTGCACTAAAAGATGTAATTATGTGCGGTAACGCTCTCATAAAAACTTCACAAATTGTCGCGTTACATCTTCTTAATGCAACATGAAGCGCAACATTAATAACATTATCAAATTCTAATGCAACATTGAGGTATTTTAGTGCAACATTGTCTAATCAAAATGCTAGTGCAACATGAAGTTGTTTTAGTCCAACATCGTCAAATCCAACAATCAAGGTTCATATTCATTTATCACATTAGATGCATTTCTAACTTATATATATATATATATATATATATATATATATATATATATATATATATATATATATATATATATATATATAGGACTGCTCAGGTCCAGCCGGAGGGACGGGAGCAGCCGTCCGAACTTCACTGTTTGAGGCGGTTCCCGATGGAAGTTTTCGATGAAAATTTTTGAGCATGTTCCTCATCAAGTCTTGTTTGTCCATACCAAATTTCAGCTCAAAATTCGACCGGGAAGGCAGTCAAATAAATTCTTGAAACTTACTGCACTTTATATATGCGCAGAATGTGCAGTAAGCTTTATATATATTACTTGAAAATTCTTGAAACTTTATATATTACTGCACTTTATATATATATATATAGAGAGAGAGAGAGAGAGAGAGGTCTTCATGTCAGGCTGGCCTGACGGGATGCTCCGTCCGGCCAAGCCCGTTTGGGCACCTTCCCGGTGGAATTTTTTGATGAAATGTTTTGAGCATGTTCCTCATCAAGTCTAGTTTGTCCATACCAAATTTCAGCTCAAAATTCGATCGGGAAGGCATTCAAATCATTTTTTGAAGTTGACTGCGTCAAAATATACATATAAAACGGCAGTCAACTTCAAAAAATTATTTGAATGCCTTCCCGATCGAATTTTGAGCTGAAATTTGTTATGAACAAACTAGACTTGATGAGGAACATGCTCAAAAAATTTCATCAAAAAATTCCACCGGGAAGATGCCTAAATGGGCTCGGCCGGATGGAGCATCCCATCAGGCCGGCCTGACATGAAGATTTGTCTATATATATATATAAAGATCAGGTGAGAAGTGCCCCTTAAAATGAGAAGTGAGAAGTAATCTTAGCCCTTGGATTTGCATCTGATCTTACAACGCAGTAAACTTATAGACTAAATATAGAAACTTATAACCAATAAATCATAACTTATAAAGCTCTCCATAATAATTACAAAAATGCCACCGCGTCAATTTTTTTTCCAGGTTTCCATAATTATTTTTTTGTGGTGGCATTTTCATAATTTTTTTGGAGGGGCCTATAAGTTATGATTTATTGGTTAAAAGTTCCTATATTTAGTCTATAAGTTTAACTTCGCAGTTCTCAGCCTAAAAGCACTTCTCACCTGATCCGCTCCCTATATATATATATATATGATATAAAAGCGTCGCACTTCAGTCGGGTGTGGGGAGGCTCAACTCCGAACATTCCTCCCCACATATAAAGCCTCCAAAGATCTATCAGCTCCCTCCAACCACCGAAGCTCGTGCGTAGACATTCAAATCGCCTGCAAAGACACGCGGCGTGAAGTGTCCATGTCTCCGACACATGATTTTTCATGAGGCGAATCAAGTAGGAGTTCTTTCTTTTTGACTGATGATGTCCCAATCTTGCTTGGGTAGTGCCAATGTATGTGTTGTATCACATCTTCAAACACGAAAAGCTGAAAGTCACATATTCTGAGATCGTTTTTTTGGCATATTTTATGTGATAGTACATATAAACCCACTTAAGAAGAAATCAACTACCCAAGTAAATGGATGTCCAAGCACCTTGCACTTTGAGAAACAAATCAAGACATCGGCCTCTTACCACATTTAGGTTGGTCAGAGGTATTTTGTGTCTGGTTGTGTTGGTTTTGACAGCATTTACTCTGATAGTGTTCTGTGGCTTCTGGTCTTCCATGTGCTTAAGGTTTGTCAGTGTTCACTATAGCAGAACCACAACTGCCTTCTTTTTTGGGTGTTGGATAGCTCTATGGCCATTTTTATTCGAAAAGATAAACAAGACCAAAATGGTTTTCTCGGGAGATTGTGTTCCTGACAGGGAACGAGTGTTGCTTATTGCAAACCATAGAACAAAGGTTGATTGGATGTACCTGTGGGACCTGGCTTTACGAAAGGGATGTGTGGGTTCAATAAGGTATATACTTAAGAGTAGTTTGATGAGATTGCCTATTTTTGGTTGGTTTTTTCATATCATGGAGTTAATACCTGTGGAGAGGAAATGGGATGCTGATGAATCAATGCTGAGGCAGATGCTCTCATCCTACTCAGACCCTAGAGATCCTCTTTGGCTTGCTGTTTTTCCGGAAGGCACTGATTTCACAGAACGCAAGCTTTTATCTAGTCAAAAATATGTTTTTGAAAATGGATTACCGATCTTGAAGAATGTGCTGCTTCCAAAGACAAAAGGGTTTTGTGCATGCTTAGAGGAGTTAAGAGGTTCTTTGGATGCCGTGTATGATCTCACAATTGAGTGTAAGAATAACTGCCCATCCTTCATGGACAATGCCTACGGTGTGGACTCAGCCGATGTTCACATCCACATACGAAGGGTTGATCTCACAACCATCCCAAGTTCTGAAAACGAGGCCATTTCATGGTTAATGGACACATTATGCCACAAGGATAAGTTGCTTTCTGATTTCTATTCAAAAGGCCATTTCCCACTAGATGGGATAGAAGGTGAACTGCCTACTTGGAAGTGTCTTAGCAACTTGGCCCTTGTTATGTTATTCACTAGTGTGTGTACATTTCTTACTGATAGAGTTTAATCCAACTACGAGAGCTAAATATACGTAAAGTATAGAAATAATATCGAAATCAATATGGCAGCGTAAGGCAGTATTACTCTTATTCCGGAATGGCAATTGCCGATCAGAAAAATCTCTCCCTGGGTAGGGTGTTTACATGAAGTATTTATAGAGACTAGGAGGTAGAATTATGAGAGGAATCTTATACAATAAATGCTCAATTAATGAACTATATTCTCGCTCGAAATAGAACTCTTTCGATACTTGATTCTCACGCCATATTTGTTTCCCAGTTCCGGTCGAGTCCTGCCTATTGCCAAATATTTATCATCGAATGGTAGCTTGCCACGTAGTCCCTAGGAATATCCCGGCCTCACTAGAACTCTGCCCAGGCTCGAGGCCTGCTGTCCAGTCTGGCCTGGCTGTGGGTTCCTATCGTGGGCCTAATTCCTAATGGGCCCAGCGGCTCATTCAATATGAATCCCGTTTATGGGCTAATCCTGTTAATTAGGCTAATCCCGTCAAGGGCTGATCCCGTCAAGGGCTAATCTCGTCAAGGGCTGATCCCATAAAGGGCTAATCCCGTCAAGGGCTAATCCCGTTTATGGGCTGGTTACGTAATTGGGCCATGGTTAGACTGTATGGTACCATCACGACCCCCCCTACTCCTCAAAATAGCCAGGCTGAGTTTTGGAGGAGTAAAATCGGATCGGTTCTTGGACTTTGAATTTCAAATATTTCGTAGGTGGCTGTAGCTCTGCCTGGTAATTCTTGCGCCGAAGTAGGCCTGCAGCCGGGCTCATTTTTCAATTAGCTTTTCCATTACCCGACTCCTCGAGTCCCTTAATGCGGTTTTCCCAAGCGGTTTCTGAACAGTTTCCAAATGGCTTCTAAGCGGTTCCAACGATTCCGAAGCGTCCCAAGGGTTTTGCTATAAAACCAACAATTCCTTCTTTATGCATCTTTTTTAACCATTCTCGGTATCCCTTGAATCCTTTACGCAGAAAGCAAACTCGCCATGTCTTCATCTAACCCTTCTCTCGTTTCCAAATTCTTTCATGATACTAAGACCCATTTCTTCATTCCTGCCAACCGAGCACAGGCCGTTCATGCCCTAGCTATCTCTGACCATGAGTTTCAGGCAGCTGCGGCCCTTGCCGGTTTTGGTGTGATATGCTCACGCCCCACTCTCGGCCAAAATATTGTAGAGCCTTCTTCACCCCTTCACTTCGGGGTTCATCTGCTCAGCCTGAGCATGGGACTTAGATTGCCTTTTCACCCTTTTGTGCTGATCGTCCTCTCCTACTACGACATCGTTCCCGTATTCGGCTTCAATGGCGTACCTCCTTCTGGCCGGGTTCTTGGCCCGATGCGTGGGTTTAAAGATTAGGCCAAACCTGACCCTCTTCCGACACTTTCTCTTTATACCTCGTTCCAACGCTTTCGTATTCAGGGGTTTTCTTTCACTCTCTCAGAGACCTGGCCTTTCTCAAAACTGGGAGCAAAAATGGGTGTGGGTGACTCCAGACAGCGGTGAGTTGCCGTTCGTCAACAGGTGGGGAGAGTTGATTCGCCGATGGGACATGCCGATCCTTAATGAGGGGACTGAATTTGCCGTCGACCTTATTGGGAGGGATTCTCCCTATTTGCTTGGCTACCAAATAGGCGCCGATGGGAAGGTTGCAATCTCCCTTTCTTCAGGTTTGCGCTTTTAGTTCTTACTCTGATACCCTTTCTTATTTGATCTGTCGTCTGATTTTGGTCCCTTGGTCTCAGGAGGCGCACTGACGGTCCCCGAAGATTCTGATAGAGAGCAACAAAGGAACAACACTGTGACCCCTGCCAAGCCGGCTGTTGACCTTCCGCTACTCCTGACGAGGGGCGCTGGGGTGAGGCCGGCATCCCAGGCTGTTTCTTTGCCCACGGGAGAGAAGAGCTCCGATGATGCTATTTAGAAGGTGACCGCTGTCAGGTGGCATTCAGAGGGACGCCCTGGCACATGTTTTATAAATTCCACTTTAGTTTTCCTGATAAACATCCTTTCCAGGCCTGCGTGCCTGTTGTGTTTTCCACCCTTGGGGTGGCTTGTAACCAAACATCTTACTTCTCTGCACTTTAGTTTTCTTCGTACATATGATGTTTGCCTTTGAGGCTAGTCGCTTGTTCTTGCCTGACCCTTTCTGGGTACAATCGAAGTTGCCCAACCCGAGTTTTGGGGCTGTCTTTTGTCTCTACTGACCCTTCTTGGAAGTTGGCCTTTATCTCGGTGATTAGGGGTGGAAACAGGTCAGGCCAGGCTAGGCTTTCGCCTAAACAGGCCGGGCCTGTTTTAGAATATATAGGCCTGAGCCTGGCCTGTTACCTGTTAAAGGCCTGTTTTTTCGGCCTGGGCCTGGCCTGTTCAAAAGCCTGGCCTGGCCTGAAGCCTGTTTACCGGGCCTGTTAAGAAAAAAATTCAAAATTTCAAAAAAATTAAAATGAAAAGTGTAAAATCCTTTTAATCCGCTATAAAATTTATTTCCCTAAATATTCACTAAAAAGTATAATAATACGTTAGTTTTGCTTTAGATATCTAATAATACATTATTATGGAGTATTATTATGTAGTTTATAAATTTCTATATACTTTAAATCTTGAAAAACTTTGAATTTCAATTACCTTAATAAACTATTAACACACTTTATGTATATTTAAAATAGTATTCTATTCTAATTTATAATACACACTCCCTAAAAATACTATTATACCGATTTTGCTATAGTTGAGTATACCAATATAAATACAATATAAATATAAATAATACAAATAAATATGAATATAACTAGATATATATATACATACATATATATATATACACATATATAAATAGGCCGGCCTGTTAAGGTAAAAAGGCTTCAGAATTAGGCTAGGCCTGGCCTTTTTAAATAAACGGGCTTTTTAAAAAGCCCAAGCCTGGCTTGATTACTAAACAGGCCAGGCCAGGCCAGGCTTTTAACAGGCCAGGCCACAGGCCCCTGACAGGCCGGCTGGCCTATTTCCACCCCTATCGGTGATTGCATGATCTGGGAGCCCTGGGACGACCTCGAGGTCTCACCTGGGTCTTATGTCTTCAAGTTTATTTCTTATCACCTTTTTCCTTATAGTTTTGGCCTTGATATCCCGGTCAAGGTTGCTTTCCATGGGTTCTTAATTTTTGAACCAATTTGGAGAGCTTTACCAATTCTAACCCCCTAGGTTCTCATTGCTTGAACCAGAATAGGGTGGGTTTCCTTCGCTTAGGTAACTTAGACCTTAGTGACAAACCTCTTTAATTGGCGAGGCCTGGTGGCCTCTCCGGTGCAAAGTTAATTCCTTTAGTTCATCCTTTAGCCTTTGTAAATCAGTTTTGGCCTTGAAAAAGGCCATCTTTTCATGTTTGAGGAAATTTGATTTTGTTTATAAGGCTGTTTGTCCTTGAAAAAGGTCGTTTATTCCCGCTCTCGTCTCATGATAAGACTAATTTGAGCTTCTAGAATTTGGATGAGTCTGGAATTTTGACTTTGACTTTTGCGAGTACCAAAATTAGGCGTAACCTTAGTTTTTTTTGGCGGTTAAAGAACCTTCGCAATTTTATAAGGACGTTTGTGAAAGAAAACAAACTTTATTGAATAAACTTTAAATCGGGATTACAAACCTACTGGTAGAATTTCATCAAGTGTTCCGAATTCCACACCCTTTCTATCAGCTTCCTTTTGGGAGTACTCAACTTGTAAGTCCCGGGCCCAATTTTTGGCAAACTTTTCACCTTCCAAGGGTTTGCTCGCAGACCTTCTTAAAACCAGGTCTCCGACCTGAAATAGTCTCGATCTGACCCTCGCATTGTGGTATTCTTTGACCTGCCTCCTGTAGTTTTCAGCTTTGATGAACGCATTGTCCCTCCTTTCCTCAATTAGATGTAGTTCTGCCCTAAGCATGTCCTCGTTATTCTTAGGGTCATAATCCTCAACCCTTTTGCTTGGGACCAATGTTTCTAAAGGTGCTCGAGCTTCAAATCCGTAAGTCAAGGCGAAGGGAGTCTCACCAATAGCCTTCCTTGGGGTAGTCCGGTACGCCCAAAGTATGTTATTGAGTTCATTTACCCAAGTTGTTCCCATTGACTCCAACTTCCTTTTGAGGCCGTTGGCAATAGTTCTGTTGGCATTCTCCACTTGTTCATTGCATTGGGGGTATGCAATAGATGCTCTGCTGGCCTCCACTCCCCATTGTTTGCAGAAATCCTTGAATGGCTCAGAGTCAAACTGCTTCCCATTGTCAGTAATAATTTGCATGGGAACACCAAATCGGCAAAATATATTTCTCCACACGAACCTTTTGCATTGTTCCGCAGTGATGGTGGCCATTGGTTCAACCTCAATCTACTTTGTGAAATAATCAATTGCCATTATTACGAACTTCCGACCTCCTGAGCCCGGCGGAAGGGGCCCAACAAGATCTATTCCCCACCTGGAGAATGGAATTGCAGTGCTGATGGGATGATACAGTGTGGCAGGTCTGCCGGAGTTTGTTTGAAACTTTTGGCAGATCCCACATCTTCGTGCAAAGTCGACGCAATCTCTTATCATTGTGGGCCAAAAATATATCCTTGCAAAAGAGCTTTTCTACTTAAAGTAAACGCACCTTGATGGGATGAGCAGGTCCTCTCATGTAATTCTTTGATTACTTGTTGCGCCTGTTCTGGACTTAGACATTTGAGTAGCACGCCATTGTAGCTTCTTTTGTAAAGTTTTCCATTTTCAATGACGTAGTTTGGAGCCCATCTCTTGATCAATTTTGCCTTCTCCTCGTCTGAAGGCAGTGTTCCGACTTCCTTATATTCCATCAATTCTTCAACCAAAGATTTTTGCCTTTGTTCGACAGGAAAGATCTCCAGGTCTTTTGTGATCGGGTTTATCTAGCTCTTGTATCCGGGCTATGCGCATAAGGTGTTTAGGTGCATCTTTGGTTAGTTTTGACAGAATATCTGCTTCATTGTTTTGGGCTCAGGGAACACATGCTAGATCTGACTCCTCGAACTGTTTGACAAGTTCCAGGGCTGTGTCCCTGTATTTTTGCATTCGTTCTTCTTTGGCTTCGTATTCCCCTCTAAGCTGTTTGATGACCAACTTAGAGTAGCTTTTAATCCTCAGTTTTTGTGCTTTGAAGTGGATTGCTATCCTGAGGCCTGACAGCAAGGCCTCGTACTCAGCTTCATTATTGGATAGGTTAATCTTGTATCTGAGGGCGTGATAAGTTTTGAAGCCTTCAGGGGTGATATGGACCACCCCTCCTCCGCAACCTTTGGACCCTGATGACGATCCATCAATCATCAGGGTCCACCAATCTTCCTCTTCATGTCTCTTTTCTTCAGTCAAGTCCCAGACAGTACATTCAACCAAGAAGTCTGCTAAGGCCTGACCTTTGATTGATGATCTAGGTTGGAAACTTAATTGATACTGGCTGATCAGCAAGGACCACTTCACAATTCTGGTTGTCTTGGCTGTCCTGAATAATGTGCCGACCCCCAAGTCCGAGAGTACTTTGATTGGGTAAGCTTGGAAGTAATGCGCCAGCTTCTTGGCCGCTGTGTAAACTGCGAGAGCGGTCTTTTCCAGTGCTGGATATTTGAGCTCGGCTCCATGAAGGACTTTGCTGATGTAGTAAACCGGCTTCTGCACTGTTCCCTCTTCGCGCACCAAAACAGAGCTGATCACGCTTTTTTGTTACTCCCAAATAGAGAGCCAGGGTCTCTCCAGCCTCAGCCTTGCTGAGCAGCAGATCTGATTGTAAATATTTTTTGAGGTCTTCAAAGGCGGGTTGACACTCCGGGGTTTGGAACCTATCGTGGCTGTCCAGCCTGGCCTGGCTGTGGGTTCCTATCGTGGGCCTAATTCCTAATGGGGCCAGCGGCTCATTCAATATGAATCCCGTTAAGGGCTGATCCCGTTTATGGGCCAATCCTGTTAATTAGGCTGATTCCGTCAAGGGCTAATCCCGTCAAGGGCTGATCCCATCAAGGGCTAATCCCGTCAAGGGCTAATCCCGTTTATGGGCTGGTTACGTAATTGGGCCATGGTTAGACTCCATGGTACCATCACTTACCTATGTATCTGCTTTGTTCAAAATATATGTTACCACTGTCTGTGTCTTACTTACAACAGCAACATATTTCAACATTCGTCCATCGCCAATTGTATGCTTATGATGAAAGCTTTTGTGTACGTACGTCCGACAAGGGGAAACACCAACTATTGCTACTATATATATATATGTGTGTGTGTGTGTGTATATATATATATATAGGGAAAAGATCACGTGAGAAGTGTCTTAGGCTGAGAACTGCGAAATTTAACTAATAAAGTCAATAAGGTAACTTATATAACATAAATCATAACTTATAAATCCAACAACTCTAAATCAAAAGTATAATTTTATTGTGATAAATTGAGGAAGTATGAGATTACAATGAAAAACACTAGTAGTAGTTGAAAAATATTTATAAAAAATATATCTATTTATTTGCCAAGACATATATGTCCTAATAAACTATTAATACGTTACCCCACCGTAGGTGGGAGCCTTTGCGGCATTGGGGTAAATGAAAATGAAATGATATCTATTTATTTGCCAAGACATATATGTCCTAATAAACTATTAATACATTAAACATAACTTATAAAGCCAAATGGTTGGAAGATTAAACTAATGCGAATAAAACGATTAAACTAAATGGGTTCTCTCTAATTATTGATGAAGGGAACATAGATTGATTCCGGGGTAACCAGATTTTTGGCAGATCAGTCCTAATTACATGAAATTGATTCAATTGAGCCTAGCTAATCATTACTAAGTTCTTACCGCTCTCGCGGCGTAGAGTATAATAATTTAGGGGATCAGACTGATCTCTCATGCGACAAGTTCCTAAATTATTGCTAAGACGAGCGAGCTTACCGCCCCTTAATCGCTACTAATCTCTTAGCGAACGATTAAGTGTGTGTGAAGGTGTCTTAGAATAAACTAGATCTCTCTTAATTTATTCTACAAGCAATTGTAATTCTAGTCGCGATTCTAGGTTACAAAAGATATCAATTAAATTGTTCAGACACAAATTAACGGCATTCATGCAATTAAACCAACAAGAATCTAGCTATGCATCATGATCAACCCCTTCATCAACCCCAAATCCCTAATTAAACTACTCACAATTCATAATTGAAG